TGGCCTCCACACGGCCAATCTACGGTGGTTCAATGTTGTCCCAACAGTAGCAGAGTCTCTTTCTCTGGGCAGTTTTGGTCATTGACCATCTTTGACGCCACACTTGGGTTTCCTGGGGAAGGGCCTAGATGGTCTATCATCTCTGCGAATATCGATTCCTTTGCCACAAATGTCAACTGCCTGCAATGGGATGCTGACGCCTTCATGCTTCAAGAAGCACGTATAGCAGAATCCAATATGGCGGAGGCCCAACGCAAGGCTGCGCTTTGCAATTTTGGCCTCTTCTGTTCACAGCCTCTTCAGAAACTGAAAGCGAGCAATGGTACCTTTCGGATTCCTTCTGGCGGAACTGCAACATGTGCTCACAAGGAACTAACTCAGCTCTTTGATGCCAGTTTTGATTTGTCGGGTACCTGGGCTATCTTGTGTGCAACTACTCGCGTCACTGCCACCTGGCATCAAGTAAATCCAACAGTAAAGGTCCTAGCCTTCAACTTTTATGCTGTGGCTAATGCTGCCTCGGAGCGTGCCAAGTTTGAGAGAAATAACGAACTCCTGGACCAGATTCTGTTGGTGGCTGCTCAATTTGGAGACGTTCCTGTGCTTATTGCTGGAGATTTCCAAATGGAACCTGGCATGTACCCTGCTGTCCAACTTGCTTTGGATCATTGGGGATGGGCAGATCCATTGTTACAAACAAATGAAGTTGGGGAGGTATTCCGGCCTCATACCTTTTTCCAGCAAGCTGCAACAGTTGATGGTGAGGGCCAGTCGTCCATTGATGGCATTTTGATGAATCGTACTGCATTAGCTGCCCTTGTCCGTATCGAAGTGTTGGATCATCGCGATCGTCAGCATCGTCCAGTACAAGCTACTTTTGCTTGGGATCGTATCCAGCAAACTGGCGCTATACTCCAGAAGTTTGCCAGGCTTGATGTGTCACAGGTTCCTAAATGTGATCCCTCTGATCAGCTCTGCCCGTACAATCAATCATGTGAGCAACTCTGGTTGCAATATGAAACAAGATTTCAGGCTGAATCTGTGTCGGATTCCAAATGGGGCCTTTTCAATGAATTCGCCACGGATGTGCTATTGCAGCATGGTGCAAAGTGGGAAAAAGGCCCTCGTGCCCGAGGCCGACTTCCCAAATTTCGAAAGACGCAGATGGCTACACCTCAGGAGCTCTCTGGAAATCCTTCATCACCTCGGCTCCTCTTGCTTAGAGCATGCCTTCGATCGCTTCGGGAGTTGACGTATCGATTTGGTCGACCCTGCACTGGTGAAGCTGATTCTCGCACTTTCTTCTTCACGCAGAAAAAGCTTTTGCGCAGACTCAAAGAAGCTTGGCTTGTTCCGATGAATTTGTACCAGGTGTTTGCATTTGATCTGCCTCATCTGATTGATCTGACCTTACAGGCCATCACCGAGGAGCTTAAGCTGATGAAACAGGCTGCAATCCGAAAGTGGCGTGAGGCGATGAAGAATGCCACTACCTCGCTGGCAATTGGCAAAGTTGTGTACCAGTATCTTAAGCGTAAAGGCCGTGTTCTTCCTCAAAATTTGGTGGAGGATGATGATGGCAACATTGTCTATGACCCGCAGACGGCAATGGACACTATTGCTGAGAAATGGGACACAGTTTTCTCTGTCAATGCCAGTCATCAACATGAAATGCAGATCTTGCAGCAGGTTTGGCCCTACATTCATGACAAGGGGCAATCTGTTGTTTTGGGGCCCATCACGGAGACTCAACTCTGGGAGCAAGCTGCACGTCGTAATCCTGATGCAGCTGCTGGCTTGGATGGGTGGAACACCCGTGAAGTACAGGCTCTTCCTCCTGTGGCTTTCCGACCGGTTGCCGCCTTGTTCAATGCTATAGAAGCTGGCACTACTGACTTTCCGACAATTCTTACTCAGGTGAGGATGATCATTTTGAATAAGGATGGCAGTGATGCCCCCTTGTCCAAACGCCTGATCTCGCTGCAGTCTATTTTTACCTTGTTGTACACAGGGCTCCGTTTTCTGCAGCTCCAGACATGGCAGCAACAGGTGATGCCCCCCCAACTCAAAGGAGGCATCAAGTCCAGACAGATGTCTGAAGTACACATGACCTTGCAGCTGGAAATCGATCACGCTCATAGTTTTCAAGGCTTCTTTGCAGCACTAAAGCTCGACAAGTCAAAATGCTTCGATCGCTTGATGCCCAAACTTTGCGCTGCTATTATGTTGGCGTTGGGCCTCCCTGCCACACTGGTGCGAGGATTCTTGGGCCTTTATACTCGTATGACCCGATTCCTCTCCTTTAAACAATGGACGAGGGAGAGAGCGATCTCCATGCCAAATGGTGTTGTGCAAGGATGCTCCCTCAGTTTGCTCTGCATCAATATCCACATTGCTATATGGGCCTGGATTATTAGCAAGATTGATGGTGTTGATTTTCGAGCTTTCATAGATGACACTTATTTGTGGACTCGCCAATCCACCATTGATGGGCTTGTCGCTGCAGTCCGAGCAACTGAATTATGGGACTCGCTTTGTGGACAGTTCCTCAACACGAGCAAGTGTGAGATTTTCGCCACGTGCAACTCTCTTCGAAAGGCCCTTAAGCAAGCTTTCCCTCAAATGAAATTGGTTGAGGTGGTCAACATTTTGGGCGCCTTTGTCCAAACCACGAAGAAGAATGTAGGCAGTTTCCCAGTTGCCAAGCTTCAGAATGCACTCAGAGATTGTGAATCCATTCGTGCATTGCCTTGTGACAGCTACAAACGGGCCCAGATCTTGGCAACAAAAGTTCTGCCTCAGATTGCCTTTGCGCCTCAACTGAACTTCATTCCAAAGCGTTTGCTGGCTCGCTTGCAGAGTGCTGTGGCGGATGCGCTGTGGCAGGATCGCCCTCGCTGGCGTTCCAAACATTTGTTGCTGTGCATTATACATAAGGCTCACAAATTAGACCCTTTCTTGTGCCGAGCAGTGACAACGATTGTTGAGTCCGTTCGATTCTTGCAGCAATCTCCCTCTGCCCGCCAACAATGGCAACAGCTTTTTGATCAAGATCAGCTTACTGCACAAGCGTGGATGACTCAGTTCGCTCAAGCGTGCTCCGTTCTTGACATTGAGTGGGCTCATACTTTTGAGTTCTCGGTGTTTGGATCCGCCCCAGTTCACTTCCTTGATTTTTCGGTGAAGGACTTGAAATGCGTGCTCAAGAGTTTAGCTGCCAACAAATGTTATCAGACAGCTTGTTTGATGCCGCGCAAGGACATCTATACTGCTTCTGGGTTCCTGGACCTTGCCTTGACGCTCTCAGCCAGGAAAAAATTGGCGAGTGTACCTAATGATGGCTTTTCTTTCCTTTTTCATTGGGAGAGTGCCTTAGTTGGATGCACACTTACGGCGGACCGCCTAGCAGCAGCGGGTTTGGTTGATCGGCCTCACTGCAGGTTTTGTGATGCGCCCAAGGAATCCATGCAGCACTTTGTTGATGAGTGTGATCACCTTCCGGCAGATTTGAGACAGCCGTCAACTGCCTTTTCCATGGGGCCTAACTTCCCCTTACTTGGCATTGTTGAGCTCCCGCTTGAGACAATCCGGAAGAAACTTGTATGCTCCAGTCCGTCACATGTACAGGTGGCTCAATGGATGGGTCCCTTGTCTTCAGTTGACCATGTCTGGACTGATGGCTCAGTGCAGCTCACGAATTACCCGTGGCTTACACTAGCTGCCTTCGCAGTGGTTGGGTCAAATCAAACGGTACTTGCAGAGGGAAGTGTCCACCACTGGAGACTATCGAGTTATTCTGCTGAATTGTGGGCAATTCTGGTCGCCTTTGCCATGGCTCCGCAACCACTGGTCATACATACAGATTCCCTCACTATTGTTCAGCAGTTCTCCTCGCTCCTTGGCGATGGTGTGGTTCAGCTGGAATGGACGCATGCTCATTGGTGGAACTTTCTTTACAACTTGCTTGTCCAAAGGAGGGTTTTTCATGACTCCCCCCTCCAACTAATCTGGTGTCCTGCGCATCTATTGGAGCACATTCCCAGCTCCATGATTACGGAGGAGGAGGCGGTGAAAGTTGGCTCTTCGCGGCAAGACATTGTTCTAAACCGACTGGCAGACACTGTTGCGAAACATCACATTCAGAAGGATGCTTGTGACATCAAGGCTGATATTGTCATGAAAGAAGCAGATGTTTTTGCGAGGCAGTTATGGCTTTCCAAATGCAACCGCTTTTGTAAAAAGCCGGCTGCTAGTACTTCATGCTCGGGAGGGACAGTTGCTCAAGTTCATGTACCTTTCACTGCACGAGAGATGTGCCCTCGTTGGCCTTGGGATGTATCACCTGATCTTTACACTTGGCAATGCCAAATTGATCTGGATGTTTCCTTTCGTCCTACTTCGTCATTGAGCGAAGCCAACTTCCGGACTTTCCTTCGTTTTTGCAGCTCAGTTAAATGGAGAGTAGGAGATGGTTATGCCTGTTCGGTCTTTGAGTTGGCCATCCTAGCTTTTGTTGAGGGATGGAGATTCCAACACCAGGTTGGAACCTTGTGTACACCTCAAGCGTTTGCGACCCTGATTCGTGCAGGGTTAGCCGAAATCAAGCAGCTCGTGGTGGCTCCCTTGTTGCTGGAGAAAGGTAATAAAAGCAACGGGAAGACCTTTCCCAAGGGTGTGTTCATTGGCGCCGAAGCCTTCTTGCCAAACCCTGCCCTCGAGATGCTGGCCAGAGCTTTCTCGAAAGGTGCTAAGCAATCTCCTTCGACTTGGAACATGCCATTCGATTCGCTTTTGTAGCGACTTGGTTGTCTTACTTGTGACCTTCTTGCAGAATGCAGGGAGGTTGCCACAGACCCTGACGTCTTGGCTGGAGAGCGAAAAAAAAGGAAGCTCCCCCCGCCTGAGGGCAGGGGGAGCTTCCTTTAAGAAGCTCGCACCAATGATTTGGTTGATAGATTTCAAGGAAACTTAACCCTTGTAACTGCGCCGATTGTATTCGCAGCTGTTTTGGTTTTTGGCAAGATTTGCTTGCCGACGTTGCCTGGAGCGTACGCTCTGACAGCAGATCCTACGCCATGTTTTGGGTCATATCGCTCCTGTGCATGGGAGCATTTGCCAGGACAAAGCTGACAAAGCTCCACACTTTTTGCAAACGCAACCAGAGCAGACACAAGCTGAGTAGTCACAAGTTGAGTGACTGGATGTGCGCATATGCCAGGACATGCTTCCCCAATGCGATTCCTCATCTCGACCGTGTCAATATCACCTTTGATGACATTATGATGCCAATAGGCATTTGGCAAAATGCGTGGGATTCATCAGGGATCGTGTCCCAGATCTACAAGATCATTGCTTCAGAAAAACTAGGCTTCTTCGTTAACGAAGAAATTGGGCCAGCCAGCGAGTTGATCCTCGGGAAGCTTGCCGGTTGCTCTCACCAGGGTTTTGCCATCACAGGCAGGATTCAGGATTGTGCCTTTATAATCTTTCAATCTATATATATATATATGTATATATATATTTATGCTTTTGTATGAAACATATAGTATTTTATATTTGGAAGTTTTAGCAGTGCTTGGTTCCTCTCCCCTCCTACGCTTTCAGCATAGGTAACTGCCCAGTGATACTAGAATTGTAGATGTAATCCATGCCTGGTCAGGTGACTGCGGAGCTCCTCGCCGATTTCACGTGTCCTTCGAAAATTGGCTGACCGGCTCACCATGGACTCAGCAGTGGCTTGAGGATTTGATTCCTTATGGCGTTCCCATGGATTTGGGCAGCATGGGAGACCTGTCACAACATGGCGGATGCAGCTTAGAGTCTACAATTCCTTTAATGAGGGATAGCCCAGGTTGGATTGGGACACAGCAAGCTGATGGCACGTTTGTTTGAGCCCCATGCAACTCTGATGCGATTCCGACTTCTTTTCAGGATACGAGGGGAAATCTGGGATGTTCGTCCTTAGCGGATCCTTGAATGCAGCATTGGCTGACAGTGTCTTGGCTGCCTGTATAGAAGTAGCGGAAAGACAGTAGTGAAGAGAGGTCAGCTAATGGTGCAGGCAAACGTTTTTTTCAGTGTTTATATATATATATAGTTATTTCTTTACATAGTTGTCATACAGAGCCATGCATTGCTGAGCAGGGAATCTGTTAAAGCTTACGAGACCGTGTTACTTTTTTAACATTGCTAAGTACTGGTACATTTTGTTGAGTGGAGATGACATACGCTTGGACAGGGAAACTTTGGTGCACGTCCTTGATCGTTGAACGATTCAAGCTAGAAAGAATAATGTATGTTCAATACTATATCAATCGAACTGTTTTGTAGAGTCTTTTCCAGCTGTTTCCTGAAACAAAGAAAAATGTTGGAGAACACCGAGGTGGATTGGCCTTGAGTTTCTACCGCTCCTACAACGCATCTTGGTTCGATCCATCGAAGCTCGTCTATTATAGAGGACCACGCAGCCACAAGCTGTTTTGTCATTATGGTTTGGAGGCTCAATCTGGTTCAAGTCATAGTGGTTGGATGTCGAAATTTGCTAGAGTGGCTGACCAGGGTCAACCCCCAAATCGATTCATTCATTTTGTGTAGACTTACAGAAGCTAAGACTACGGCCATGAGGAATCATTCGGCTGAATGCATTTGCATCACCACTTAGGAAGTACACTGAACCCGTGGACAATGTCGACCTGAACCGCTTGAAGAAATGTGCTGACAGTGCCGAGATTGGATATCCGGGCATTGCTGAGCTTTATTTACGCATCACAGGAGATACTGGAGGCTCCTTAGATTGGGGATGGATTGTGCCTTTCAGCATCCTTTACAGTCATTTCTAGCATAGGATCTCAATTGGCTTTAAATGCGAAGCTCTAGTTTAAAGGTAGTATGTGTTTTTGGCTTAGAATGTTATAGATAAATTACAGCAGGTTTCTCTAGCTCCGCTTGAAGACAACACAGTCAAGGGAGCTCTTTGCAGTCAGTGCCATGTTTCATGAGAGCTTGGATAGGTTTAGACAAGTTGAAGTTACGAGGGCTAGCGACGCTAAAAGGGTAGAGCCCAGGCATGAATACCTCCACGTATTAACTTCTGCAGGCATTGTGGATGTGAATGGCGCAAAGGTATTGAACCTCAGAAGAAGTTTCAGACCAAAATTGATTTGGTGCCTTGTTCGTCCTGTTTCTTTTGAAGCTTGCTATGCTGACTGCAGTAACGGCTTGATGGATCCTGTTGTGCTTGGATTGTTGCTTTCACATGCTTTCACCAGCTCAGGAACTGCTGGCAGGAAAAGTGGTGGATTGCGCCGGCATGTCGTTATAATCGATCAAAATGTGCTCCTGTTTGCTGGTTGAAGAGCTTGTCATTTTGAGTCAGTGTTTCATCAGAGTCCAAAGGTCATGGGCCTCATTTTGTGTGTTCATCAGGAAGAGTTTCATATGCCACATCACTGGAAGTGCAACATGAATACAGTAGTTGTGCGATCGTAGTATTCTAGCAAAAGCAGCTTGACCAGTCACCAGCCTTGAGGTTCTTATGCCTTGGACAGCTTGGGGCCTTCCAGAAATGATGCAGCAAGCATTTTGGTGTTTTGGCTTCCACTTCTTTCGGTTTCACTTGTCGTAGAGAGTTCCTTCTACTTTTGGCGTCCACAACAAGTGAAAATGTTCTCAAATGCTCAAAGTAAGAAAGAAGCTGTGATGTAGTGCACGTTTTGTAACGCTGTTTGCAGCATAGCGTGTGATGACCTCTCCGGAGACATTACTCTGTGTAGGCTGACACTTGTGTGACCGCTGCAGAGTGCGCTTTCGAGTCAAGCTGTAAAAACAAGGTTACCAGCTGTCTTCGCTTCACTGGTAGCAGAGCAGTAGCGGCGGCTCGGCCCGTTCCAGACTCTTTTCTTCGCCCGCGCCGTAGCCATAGCTCCTGCCGCTGCCGGACAACAACGCCCTTGCTGAGGGCACGAGCGGATCTCCGTGTACGAAGAGCTTTGTTCGGTGATCCCGGCGCTGGGATGGAAGAGAAGGCAATCAACACCCTATACGACTCAAGCAACATTGAGCTGACCAAGCAGGGTTGCCTGATCTACTCTGGGGATGCTTTCAACTTCCATGAGTGGGCGTTCAGGACGACCGTGAAGTTTCAGGCCACGAAGGTTGAAGAGGGCTGGGAGGAGGGTGAGGGCCTCGGCACCAATCATTGAGGCCATGCGAAAAGCCGTGTTCCTCCTACGTGAAGTTACGTGAACATGAGGCAACAGAGCTTCGATGGGAGGACCGAGGACCCTTAGCCAGACCGGCAGGGGAGCTGATGCAACACATCAGTAAGAGAATCGATGATGAAGAACCAACATCCTCACATGACCTGTTGGACAACTTGGGAACCAATCGGTGGGAGAAGCTGGTGATTACAATGGCCACGCGCGACAGCCCAACCTTCTCCGCTGTGTCACAGGCTCTGGTACGCCAGCGTGGCAGAATTCGGGAGAACCAGCGTGAACAGTAACAGACAGCAAGGACCACGGCTTCATTGCCCACGACATGGGGGACTTCGACGTGCGCGATGACGGCTATGACGACATGGACGACGACGAGGAGGAGGAAGACGAAGGGCTGGTGGCAGATGATGACGACCAGGTAGCCTGCCACTCCACGAGCCTGTCCCCGCTGAGCCCGTATTGATTTGGACACCATGACGTGCGTTTGGTTTAAGAGACCCTTGATGAGCTTGACCAATCACATATCGGCTTATCGGCGTGCTAGCGATTGTGTTCAAGCTGAACTTGCAGCTTCTTTGCCCGAGGGAAAGCCATGACCTTGCGCAAGCAACCCATTTTGAAGATCTAGGGAAGGCATTGAGAGAAATGAAGCAGAAATCAACCTGCCAGAAGTGTGGGAGGTGTCCTAAAGGACCCGCGCATCCACCACTAAAGCCCCAGGCCAACTTTGCTGCTTTAGATCGGGCGCCTGAAGGAGCAGATCCGTCGCGCAAGAAGGTCAGCAGTAGTTCAAGGGGAGAACTGGCTTTCGAGTGCTGTGTTCCATGGTGACAAAGAGAGATCGTGACGTTGACGATGGTGATCTTGAGGCTGACCTCCGCTGGTATCTTCGACTCTGACCGTGGCAGATACTCTCGAAGAATGTGTTCCTATATGCGCAAGACTAAGTTCACGTTGGGCCGTCAGGACTTGTCGATTGGAACAAGCGCCGGACGAAAGGCCTGGTAGACGGCCAAGTTTTTCCAATTCCGCTTCATGGACTTGCGGGTCAGGATTAGAATGCCAATCAAGTGGCCTGTTTTGCGTCAGTGTCAACTCTCCAAGAGCCCGCTCAACATGTCACGAGACCAGTTTCCGTTGGTTTATTGCGAAGGGCGAAGATTGTCCGCTGTAGTCAGCCAGCTACTGACGTTCTTGGTCAACTCCATGCCCACGCTGGAAGTGGGGGTGTTAGTATCCGGCCACCTCGTTCCACTTGAGGGCCCCATTGATCTCCAACCAAGCCTGAGTGCCTGAGTCCAAAACAAAACATCCAAATGCCGTAGCTTGACCCTGGCACTTCCACTGCCAATCCCTTGCTCCATGATCACCAAAGTGTGTTTCCTCCAAGCATCACCATGGCAGATGCTGTCAGCCCTCATCCATCCACAGTTAACAGGATCAACGAGAGGAGGCTCCTCTTCAGGAATGTTCACGCATCTTCGTGTTCCTTCTTGGTCCAACGCGGCCATGTAATTATACGCCCACCTCCCGGTGGACAGGGCTGCGCTGAGCAATTTTCAGCAGGGAGAAATTTGGCCAAAGCTACAGCCCCCTACTTAGAACTGCGCCAACACAATCACGGGCGCCAGTGCAATCTAACGTTCTTTTACTGGCACCATGTTTTGCAGCGTGACCTGTCCCGGAGGCATCATTCTGTATAGGCTGACGCTTAATTATGTGACGGCCGCGCAGTGCTTTTTTGAATCATTCAAGCCGCGTAAACAACGCCACCAGCTGTTTTGACAAACACTTCTCATCGAAACCCAGCAGCGTCTAGGCACGACATGCCTCTCGCATTTGCCACCGCGAGCGACGCGGACTTCATCAGCCTGAACAGAGAATTGCAAAGTTTGTTGCTCCTTGGACTTCATGTTTTACTTAACTTGCTCATGTCGTTTCGGTCAAGAAAGCCTTTCCGAGTTGTTTGTTGCTCATGCAAAGCGTTTGTTTGCAATCAAACTGTCAATTTGGACTGCAAATTTCTGGGCCTCCTAGAGTTCAGTTCCTGCGATTGACACGCAAAGGTATACATACATCCCCGACAGCACCTTCTTTGTAGACAAGCCGTCGCAGATCATTTTTCCTGACCACAGCCCGTCTCAGTATGCCATGGGCATCTATAAGACTATGAGTCTCGCCAAGCTGAGTGGGCAAAAAATGAAAAAGGAAGGGAAGGGTTCCTGTAAGGAGTCCGTCAGTACCTTCGTTTTTTTGACCTTGTATACATGTGTGTGTGTTTCTTCCTCTTGAAGACATGTATATAATCAGGAAGACAGACACAGTTTTGTCAAAATGGGCTGCTGATGGATTTGATGCCGCTGCCGACAGAGCCTTTGCCGTTACTCGAAGCAACGTTGTTTGCTATCTCCTGTTTCACGTGAGACGTGGTTCTTGGTTTGATGCCCGAATCGAACGTGCAGTGAACTCACCGTAGTGCTGCCCAGGTGGCAAAGAATCTGCAGATGGGGTTCGAAGATATGATGCAATTGCTCTCGAATCATGTCCAGAGCAACACTCCAGATCTTTGGCAGACAGCCTGCGACTGGTTATTGCAGCACGAGGTGCTGTCAAAGATTCATTGCAATTTGGCAGATCTGAACACGAAATAGTTTGTCTAAGAGATCCTAAGAGGATAGTAGCCATGAATGGGCGCAGTGTACATAGGAGTAGCTGGACAAAGAAATGCCCTGCTAACCACAGCAGCAGCAGCAATTATTGTTGAATGTGTCGTGCAATTTTGTCAATTTTATGTTTGCTGTGTATGTACGCATGTATGTTTGTACGTAGGTATGTATGTATGCATGTAAGTATGTATGTAAGTATGAATGTGTGTATGTTTTGTATATTTTGTATGTATTGTTCTGTGTGTATGTATGCAAATACGCACGTATGCATGTTGTAGGTGTGTATGTAGGTGTGTATGTACGTATGCATGCATGCATGCATGCATGCATGTGTGTATGTATGTATGTAGGTAGGTAGGTATGTATGTATGTATGTATGTTTATATGTATGTATGTATGTATGTATGTACTATTTTCCTAGAGATGTGCACGAGGCTCTTTGGCGAGTTTCAGGGCCTTTGGCCAGATGCTACCGTAGCAGTTGCCTCATGTGGTCTTCTGCTGGTGGTAGTTGCTTCCTTTTCAGAAGTAGTCGACTTCAAGTTCGGCCTTGTCGTCAGCTGCTGCCAGGGGACTGGGGTTCATGGCCAGCGCAGACAGCCGTTGATTGAGGTCGTCATGTTCTTGGTCTTCTAAAGCATTTTGTTCCTGAGCATCTAAAGCGGTCTGAAAGCTGAGCCTCCTTGGTGTGGGCTGAGCTGCAGCGGCTGCTGATGCCTGGGGTGCAAGCTCTGGACTGTGGCTGCTGGGGGAGTCCTTCTTTTTGAAGTACTCGCTGAGGGGCGGTGATCCCTTGGTGCCGGCGCCTTTGCATGGCTTGTGGAGCGCCTGAGTGGCTATATGATGCGTTGCTGGCCGTCCAGGTTCCGATGTGTGCCGCAATGGTTGCACTTCACTCGCTCTCCAACCTGCCAGAGTGCATGACTGAGGTGTCCCTGGTAGACTGCAGTGTAGGCCTGATTGACACAAGGGCTGTGAATGAAGGTGGTGAATGCAGCCTCATTGACCCTCTTGTAGATGTTGATGCCACAAACCACACACTTCAGGTAGCCAGTGGTTTCTGCCAACTGGTGCTGACCGGGGATGGGTTGATCCGGTTGTTGGTCCAAAAGCCCCTTGATCTGTTGGGCCCTGGTCAGCTTCTTGGGGAGCGGTGCGGTCTCTGCTGCAGTAGTGGGACCTTCATCAATCAGCATTTGGGGGCAGTCTTCAGTCAACCGGGCTTCCAGGACTTCAGTCGTGAGACTTTGATGCATCCTGATGCCGCAGCTGCGGCATTGATAGCCACTTCGCTGATGTGGCTCCCAGTGCTGGTGATTGTGTGCCCACGGTTTGCGGCAGCGGTTCACCAGCTCCTTTTTGTACTGCTTTGTTTGTTTGCCCTGGTGCCGGGGTGCCTTCTGGTGCACACAGTGCATGTTGTCGGCATAGATCTTGCTGAGTCTGTTGACAGCATGTTCGTAAATAAGCTGGTGGTCTTGATCCAGGGTCTCTTGCCATTCTTCTTGCTTGGCATCATAGAAGGTTTTTGTTTGCCCTTTCCCATGCAGCCAGGGCAGCTTCTCGTTGCCTCTTTTTGAGCTGTGGCTCATTAGCTGGTGCATCTGGGGTCCTGGTGTTCTTGCTGATGTAAAGTACCGTGACTCGTTGGTAGTCCTGGGGTGGTACTTCAGCAAGGATGTCCATGTACGGGCCTCGGTGCTTCGGGTGGTGCCATGCCTCCCACACAGTGGCGAGCTGCACAATGACCTTGACCTGATCGGCTAGGGTCACAAGTCCGGCTAGGAGTGCTCGGACTTTGGTCTGGCTGCCCTTGGGGACTAGGGTTCCCAGTCGCTTCAGTTGCCCGAGAGCCATGGTGTGAGCGCAGAGGCCATAAATCCACATTTGGCTGCGAGTGTCATATGTGGAAGGTGTGGCATCCAGCGTAAAGGCCCAGCCAGTGTGCTGTTGGAGTGGGATGACCGGCAGGCCTGCCCAACATGGCCTTGCACTGGATGTTCTGCTGTTCGTGCTTCCTGTGGCTCAAGTGGGATCCATCCATGGGCCCATAAGGGTTCTTCATCTTGGCTGGTGATCCGGTTCATCCATTCCGGCAGCATGGGATCATGGTTCTGGGTTTTGACCACTTGCACAGCCAGAGCATATGTTTTGGGGTGGCTGGGACCCCACATATCGGGCAGCTTTTGGTCTGGTGGGCATCGCGGAAATGGAGGGCCGCCTGTACCCATGTATCCAGGTTTTGCTGTTGCTGTGGCTTGAGCTTTTTCCGCACCTGGCGGTATGTGTGCCAGTCCAACCCGGTCAGCAGGTGGTCATAGTGCTGTTTGCTGGCCAAACGGTTGGTTCTTTGCCATTGGGCCTCCTGAGTGAGAGTGCGCTCGATGTGCCACCATGGTGCTTGAAGGTCAAGCTGCTGCGCAAGCAGCAGCTTGGTTTCGGGCCGGCTCCAATGAAGCAGTTCTTGCGGCTGCCAGCCCCATTCGAGGAGGTAGACAATGTTTGCAGCCAGAGGCCCACGGACACTGTACCAAGGGTACTGCTTCTCCTGGAGGTGGTGGTATGTCTGGCGCCATGCCTGTTCCAGGTCGGTTGGCCAGGCCTGGATGAGATGGCGAATGGCTTTGATGTGCTGGATGAGGACTTGATCACTGGGGTCGATGTAGCGTTTGGCGTGCATGTCATAAGTGGCATCAAGAAGTCCTCCAGTGTGATGTCCTAGATGTTTTGCCATCCCATGGCGGAGGGCCGCTCTGTAGCGCGGGGCCAGGCCTTGACTCTCTACACCCCATAATGCCACCGGTTGGATGCCCCCACGGTGGAGTCTCAGGCGGACTTTGAGTGCAGGAATCTTCAAGCTGCGCAGCTTGACTTTGCGGGCTGCAGCCTTCTTGATGCGTTGTTTCATGACTGGGATGCGTCTTTTCCGGGCCGCCTGGTGATCGATGCCCAAATCCCGCATGACTGGTGCTACCTGTGGTTCATCATCACTCATCAAGCAGGGGTTTGCGGAGACGACACCAGACCCTGTACAGCAGAGAGGTCAGTGTGATGGGTCTCTCTTTGGCCGCATTCTTGGGAAGCATGACGACCATGTGCATTTGCTGCTGGGTTGGCAGCTGGATCTTCTCCTCCATCTCTTGGTAGAGTTTCAGGAGGGCCTTGACAGCCAGAGGTGGAGCGGTGCGTAACAATTGGGCTGTTACTGCATCAGGTCCGCAAGCTTTGTCAGGCAAGTGGCGTAGAGCCCAGGTCAGCTGGCTGATGGTGAGCGCCTCAAGCTGTTGAGCTTGGTCCCGGGCAAGGCCTTGGAGAAGAGCCCTTTCGGGTGGTTGGTTGTCTTGGTTGATTTGCCAGAGCTGTCCCCAATCTTTGAGCCTTTGCGTCATGCGCTCATCTGGTGGCAAATTTCGGTATGGTCTCTCCCAAGCCAGCTCACTGCTTCGAAGGCTGCGGAAAAGCCCTTTGAGGCCTTTGGTGTGTCCTTGTGTCAGCCATGCTTTGTATTGGAGGTGGCTTTCATCATTGGCAGCTTGTTGTGCTAATTGGAGTTGATGGTCAATGGTGTGGCTGACCAATTTCGCAGCATGGCTGTCTTTGTATCGGTGCCAGTGATGACATGTGTCAAGGAATTGGCCCCATGTCGGAGTGCCAACCCAATGCTTAGAAACATCAGCAGTGGCCTGCATGAAGCCTTTGGTGGGTCCACGTACTTGCTGTGGAGGTTGTTTGAGCGCTAGCTGGAACCTGGCTCGCAATTGTTCCCAGAAGGCTGGCCGCCCCCTTTTCCACGTAGTGACGGTGGTGTTGGGCGTCAATGGTTTGTGACTTGCCCTGAGGCTGGAGCCTCGTCCTTGAGCAGCCCAAGGGTGTTCCTGCAAAAGATACTGCTCTGTGCATGATAGCCAGTCCGCCCATGCTTGTGCAGTTTCATTGACTGGATTTCCATAGAGGTCCAGCTCATAGGCAGTTGACTTGTAGGTGCTCCATGGCCGGAAATCGATGTCCGGTGTGGCTGGTAGCGGTGGGAAGTACTCTGCCTGTACTCTTTGGTGGCCTCTTCAATGTCAGAAGTGGTACGAAATGAGTGCATGAGGCCGCCAAAAAATGGCCCATTCCGTGGTGAGTGACGTGGTGCTGGCCAGCCTGGTGTGAATCAGGGCATAGTCGATGACATTCCCGGACAGGAGGCTAGCATCTGGCGAGAGGACCTCAAAGTGGAATTTGGGTGGCGACGCAGTGCTGGTGATGCTGCCGGGGCTGTTTTGCCAATCCCCTAATAGCACAAAGGGGTGATTCGTGGCCTGGGCCAGTGCCAAGAGTCGGGCTAGGATGGTGGCATTGACATCACTCTGGAGTGTTTCACCTGTCTTCATGTAGGTGCCCGCAACCAGTATGGTGCACTCTGTGGCCTGCCAGAGAAAGGCCTGAAAGCCGCAGCCTTGGTTCGTGTATGACTCCAAAGGTGTCAGCCCACAGGAAGGATCTGCAAGCACCAAGATACCGCCATGTGTGCCGGTGTTGCTCTCGTTTGCCTGTGCAGGTGTCCCAAAGGCAGTTCTGCCTCTGATGGAGAAGTATTGGCACGTCTGTTGATGTTGTTGTGGATCCAGGTGTGTTTCAACCAAGACGTAGACTTCACTCTGCCTGGACCAATACCAGTCCAGTACTTGCCGCCCAAAATGGGTCACATTTGCAAAATGCAGGTTGTTGTGGCGCTGCTCGAGCCGTGCCTTCTTCTCCGGGCTGGGATGTAGAGGTGGGTCGAAATCAGGTTCCTCAGGCGGTGGCAAGGAGCGGAGCGCCTGTTGGGTGGACCTGAATGTGTCGATGTGTACAGCCCACACCTGTGTGACTTGGCTGGCCAACTGTGGTGTCAAGTGCTCTAGGTGTATCGGTGGCTTGCCATCGTCTGCTATCCACATCAAGTCTCTGTAGATGAGAATGGCGAAGTAGTGGCCGGTGTTGTGGCTCGGGCCTTGATGGCAAATCAGAGCAGCAGGTACAAACTCAGAGGATGTCCTGGCAAAACCATCCAGTGATCGCGGTACTGTGAACGTACCATAGGTGTTCAAGAGTTTGCTATGTTTGGTGGGTGCGCCATTGATCGTGATGTTCCTGGTTATGTGGCTAACCAGGACAGGTTTGTCGTCCATCAGATACTGGCCCAATCCCGTGTTTGCCCAGCCATTGAAGAGGTCTTGGAGGTTGGTAACTTCTGGCCAGTCTTCTGGAAATGGGACCAGGATTGGTTGTTGGATGTGGTCCGTCAAATAGCCTCCTGGCTGGATCTCGGCAAATCTGTAGTGGAAAGCTCGGGTTTGGGACACATTCCACAAGGTGTTGACAAAGTGGTTGGCATCCCCTTCGATGTTGAGGTCATGTTTTTCCACATTGGTCTCAAGCCAGGGAGCTGTTGGATGTCCACAGCCTCTGCAAGTTCCAGGGACTCTTGGACGGCCTCTTTGAGGTTTCCCCATGGCTGTGTATTCGTCTCCTGTAACAAAGCACAGGTCCAGGTGAATGCCCTCCATGGGGCGTTGGCATAGCACCGGGCGCTGGGGTTTCCCACAGTCATGGTGAGGTTCTGGAGGATGACCTCGGTGGTGGTGGCATAGGCAGGTTCCATCTTGCCCGTGTGCTTGGCCGCTGGTTTCACCTGACTGGTGGGCTTTCTTCCTCCGTGGATGCACACCACTTCAGGTCCAGGTGCACCCAGCAGCGGTCCATGTGCCAGGGTCGATGAAGAAACTGCAGCAAAATTGTCAGACCTGTGTGGGTCTGTGATGTTTGTGGTCTCCATGTGTTCAAGAGTTGTTCCCCTGGAACTCTTGTTGGAGATGTCCCCCAAAAATGGTTGCTGTTGAAAATGATTCAGGTGGGTATGTGACTTGTCCCCTGCACATGTCACCTGCATGACCCCGTGCGCTGGGCTTGAGGCAGCGCGGCAATCCCCATTTGATGGTGCCCACTCAACTTCTTCCCAAGGTATTGGCACCTCAACACCTGGGAACTCTTGGATGTGGTGCTGGGTACTGTTACCCGCACTCCCCTCCTGCTGGCAGGTTGGGTGCATCTGTTTTTCGGCGCTTGTTTGGGTCATCTACGTCACAACCTGGCCTCTTGAGGAGGCCGTGGAGTTGGCTGCGTTGTTCAGCAGTCAAATTGATGCCCAAGCTTGTGACAAAAGTCTCAACTGCCATTGGGATGGGAAGCTCTGGATCAGTTTGGTCAAGGTCGGTCGGTGGTGGTGTCTTGTTGACCGCTTGCGCGTACTGCTCGGAGAGAGTCTTGAGCTTTTGCTGTCCTTCTGTGAGCTTGGCTTGGTGCTCCTGCATCTCTTGAAGCACGCTGGCATACTGGCTCTTGACTTGATCCACGCGTGCTTGTAGCTGTGCCTTCTTCATCGAGATGGTTTTTAGCTCTGCAGTGACTTGTGTCTTGAGCTTTTGTGCCAGTGCTTTCTCTGTGTCCGGGGTGGGCTGGTGCATCTTGTTGACAACATCCTGGACTGCCTGTGGTAGTTCTTTAAGATGGGTTTGTTAGATGGCCTCGAGGCCTGGCTCCTCTTGTGGAGGCAGTCCGAATCCAAGTGTCTGGAGCTTGGATTGTGCTTCAGCAGGGATGACGTCCCAGGTGCTGGCGAGGATCTCATTTGCAGCCTGAGTAGGCATGGTCTTCTTGAGTGGCTTGAGCTTTTGAAGGCCAGGAGGTTTCTCAAGAAGTTCATTGGAGCTCATGCGCCAGCTATCTTGGGAGCGTTGAGGTCTGCCTTGACCTTTGCCTTTGCCAATGCCTGCTCGCACTGAGGGCCACCAGCTGCCACATTTGCGGCTTCTGGTATCAGGTCGTAGTTTGTCTTGCCAGATCCAATTTGAGCATTTGTGACATACCACATAAGCTCTGCACCAGGCAGGTGGGTTGCTGGTCGTCATCGTGCAGGATGCTGAGGATGTCTCACTTCAGGTGATACTGCACGTGGAAGGCAAGGAGCAGGTCCCCGGACAAGATCAGGCCTCCCGCAAAGGCAGAGAGCTGTAGCGCCAGTGCTATGCAAGGGCTTGAAGTTGAAGCCAAGCGAGCAACTTGCCAGGCGCCAAAGGTCTCTGCCAAAGCGGTGAGCGCGAGGTCGTGAGATCACGGGCAATGGACGCTTGCCGAGGGAGCCGGCTGTGGCGGTGTCTGTCAGGTTATTCACCAAGCAACCGTGGTGAAAGGGGCTGTCCGCACCAGGTGGGCTTTATGAAAGGGAGCCACCTTGAACCGCTCATGTATGTATGCATGTATGTATGTATGTATGTATGTATTTTTCTCCTGAAGTTGAGCGAGTAGAGCCATTTGGCTGGTCCGCTAGGGCTTTTGCCTCACTGGCTGCCTCAGAAAAAGTAAACGGCCATCTCTGGTCGTGATCCGTGCTTTCCTCTTCCGCCGTGTCCTCCTCAATGGCTGCAGAGGAATTGCTCTTGGTCTCATCAGAGAATTTGAGCTTTTTCGGAGCAGTTGGTGAGAAGCCTTCTGGTGGCGTCGTGGCCGTGAGCGGCGTGTTGAGGCTGAGGCAGCTCGCTCGATTGGATGTCGCCTCATTGGGCTGGGTTTCCTGGCCTGTGGTGACACTGGATGGCCCTGCCTCAAGCGCAGTGGTGTCGTTCAGCTCGTCTCTGAAGCCCTGATGTTGGGCGGTCTGACTGAAGAATTGTGTCAGAGTGGGAGAATTCGGCTTGTGTCCTCGGCACTCTTTTTGCAATCCTTTCGCAAGGACAAGGCGCTCCTTGTCGTCAAGGTGGCTTTGCAAGCCGCAGCCCTTGCAGTGAATGGCCTTGCCTCTTTGCCAGAGTGTGTGTGGGGCGTGTGCTTGATGCTCTCTGGTCAAGGCTTCGTCAATGCAGGTGCTTGCTAGGAACTTGTTGAAAAGTTCCTCATTGGCTCGTTTGTGTACGGCCTGGTTGCATTTGGTGCATTTGAGGTACCCCGTGGTCTCCTGGAAGACATGGGCATCGGCTGTGGTGGGACGCTCCTGCTGCGTCTTCAGGATGGGGGCAATTCGGCTGGCTCTGGTGGGCTTTTTGCCAACGGCTTTGCCTGGTCGAAGATTTGGTTCTGGGGCTGGCGTTGTGAGCTGTTCACAGTCTTCTTGGAGCCGGGCCTCTATGATGGCTGCAGTCAGGCCTTGGTGTACCCTTGTGTGGCGTGTGTGGCACTGATACCCACTGCGGTGGGGTTTCCATTGGTGCTTGCCTTGTTGCCATGGCTGCTTGCATTGGTCAAAGAGGTTCTTCTTGCGTTGCTTGGTTTTGTGCCCCGTTGCCCTCGCAGGTTTGCTGCGCGCGTAATGGTCCTTGTCTTCAAAGATCCTGGCCAATCGGTGGGCTGCCTGCTGGTAGATTTCGTAATGGTCGTGATCCAAAATGTTTTGCCAAGCTTCCTTGTCAGTTGTGGATATGTGTTGCTCGTTCCCATGCAGCTATAGCAGCATCACGCTGTCTCTGTCGTAGGTGGGGCTCGTTTCCTGGCGCTTCTGGTGTCCGGTGGTTCTTGTGGACATAGAGCGGTGTGATCAGAGTATAGTACTCCGCCGGATGTCCTTGGGCCAGGTCCTGGAAGCCCTTGCGCTTGCTGGGGTTGGTCCACGCTTCCCATACTGAACTGACCTGGACAACCACCCGTGTGGGTGTCTGGATGAATTGGGCCAAAGTCAGAAGTCCTTGGAACAAAGCACGCGCTTTGGTTTGGGCACCCTTGGCCATGCCGGTTATGGTACCCTTTCGTTGCAGGGCCCCCAAAGAGTAGCCATGAACGCAGAGTGCATAGATCCAGGCTTGGGCTCTGGGGTCTGCGGAGGTCGGTGTGGCATCAATGGTCACTGAAAGGGCAAGGGCTCCAAGGTTTGCCAACACCCATGTCCTTCCAATGCTAGAGGAGCCGTGAGATGATCTTGAGGCTCTCTTGGGATCCAGCCATTTCTTCCAGCGGGTCTTGGAGCCGTTCTGTCCATGGGATGGGCATGGGTGGGTGCTTTTGCCCTTGGTGCCACTTACACATCCAGATGATGTGTTTTGGGGTGGCCGGGACTTGGCAGATGGGGCACATCTTGGTGGCATCTCCTTCCATGTATGTATGTATGTATGTATGTGTGTTTATTTGTTTTTTGTTTGTATTGATGTAATGTAATGTATATAATGTAATGTAGTGTAGGGTAGTGTAAGTAAGTATGTATGTATGTACGTATGCATGTATGAATGTATGTATGTATGTACGTATGTATGTGTGAGTGTGCAAGTGAGTGCAAGTGCATGTCGATTACAAATGTTTATCCAACACACGGCAGAAACATGCTGCCAAATACGTGCGCAGCAAATACCAGCAATGATATTGAACTGGCACTGTGCAAGTGTATGTTCATATTTTCTACCATGCAACATGTTTGCGAGGCTAAACGTAACGGAGGGAGAAAGGGCATGGCAGCAAAGCAAAAATTTGTTTTTTCTTTCGGCGCAATCAGGCGCGCAAGAGCACAGAAGGAAAATCCGCGAAAACACCACAATTTGAGTGATTTTTTGCAGGAGCTTTGGGTAGCTTGGATACCCAATGAGACGGATTGCTCTCTTGGAAAAGGCTTGGTGGAGTCTGATCTGATAGTAATTAAGTAAATTTTCACTTTGTTGGAGGTTTGAAAGACAACTGAGTATTCCAAGATATTCCACAAGTTTTGTGTTTTGAACGATTTCTGAATAATTGGCCTGCGTTGGTCAAGGTCGAATTGTTTGGAAGTCGTTGATTTGTTTGTCCTTTGCCTTCAAGTAAGGACGCCGATGGCAACTTTGTGCAACAGCGAGCATTGGCCGTGAGCTGTCACTTTTGTCCCGTTGGAAGCTCGAAGCGAATAACACATACATGTTTTAAACGATGTATGCATGCTGTTCTCTTCGACAAAACCTTTTTTTAGAGATAACTATATAATTTGTGATACCAGATGATACCAGTAGTTGCATATTTTTGGAGGGTTTTGTTGAGTACTTCATTCATTGACTTTATGACCCTGCAGGCACCAAATCTGCTGAAGCCGGAACGACACGAGTTTGCGAAGCCTGTGGTCCTGGCACCAGTCACTTTATGACCGAAATGTGATTGTATTTGATTGATTACTTGAATTTTATGCAGGTGTTTTCTAGGCGTGCCCTGAGGATTAAAGTGCTTGGAACTGCACAGCTGTTGTCTCTAAGGTCAGATGCTCCCAGGCGAATCGGAGTGCCTACCTTGTGAAACTGGTCGGGTGTCTCGTACTGAAGGTGTCCCTGGGCTTAAATCGACACCCACTGAAGATCACTTCGTTGAGTCTTGCAATCACTCTTGCGTGGTGAAGGGCACACGATCTTGACATTTGCGACCGAGGCAAGGGAGTGCACACTTTGTACCTTGGGAAAGTATGCCAACAATAGCGGAATGAGTGAATGCGTGCAATGTGCCTTGCAAACAAAGTTTTGCAGCCCACTTGGGACATTCTTGCCTACATGGCATGCATACAGAAGCATGGTCTTCATGCCATAGAGTTGTATAGCAACTTCCATTTTTGTTTTTCTTCGTACTGGAGTCCTGTTTGTGCTTTTGGCTTTGCAATGTTTGTGTCAGCTTCCCAGGTGGCCCTGCTGATCAAGTTGAACTTTGGACAACCAGCAAGCCTGTGCTGTCTCAGGCCCAGGACAAGCCTGTGCTTTCTCTTTGCAACACTCAACACATGGTTTTAAGGGGTTTGTTTTTTTTTGAACAGTTCAACATAGAACATTCTCGAAAAAGAACCTGTCTATTTTGCGAACAGTATCCACTGAGGGGGGTAGTTTTGCAGGCTGCTATCGTAGTTAGTGCTGCTTTGGTATTTCGATCAAAGTTTGTTTGAGCCGTTCCAACCGGATTGCACGTAGCCCTTTAGCATGGACTACTTGCTCCAAGCCGGACTTGAGCTTCCTTTGTCACGCAATACCAAGTCTTTTCAGAGATGGTCATCTAAGGAATTCGTGTTTTATGTTGGGTGTGTATCAGCTAATTACAGTACTGCGAATTATGGTTCATTGCCAATGAGAAATGTCTAGAACTTCAAAGTACCGTGAAACCACATGATTTGCTCCCATATCCGGCAAATCCAGTTGCCAGTTACTTAAGCCATGTCCCGCGGTAACTTCTTGATTTGGAACTGTCAGGTAAGACGAGGTCAGTCTGAGAGACTGACCGATATCTAAGTTGCACTCTGAAAACGACATTATAGTCCCCGAAGCTCAGAACCTAGCCCTGCCGTCGCACGTGCATGGATTGTTCTTACTGCAAGCACATATCATTGGCGTAGCGCGTGAAACAATTGTTATTACCCCCTCACCACACCCAACTTACGCTGCACGAGCCGCAAACAAAGTGACCAGGAAAAGCAGGGACGTTACTAGGGGCTTCTGGCATCGCTACTAGGAGCAAGAAGCTACTAGGGGCTCCTGGCATCGCTACTGGGAGCAGGGACGCTACTAGAGGCTCCTCTCAAAACGTATGGCCCCTTAGGGGCGCTGCGACCAAGTTCTCCCCAACACGCTGAACATCGATCACACCTCCAACTCGTTAACTTTGTCTTACCCACACGGCCAGGAGCCCCTAGTAGTACGGCCAGGAGCCCCTAGTAGCGTCCCTGCTCCTAGTAGTATGGCCAGGAGCATGAAGACTCGTTTTCGCTCACCTCACTGCACCCTACCTATCTCACCCCACACGATTTCTCACTCTCAGGCCGGCAAGAGAGAGGCTAGTAGCTAACAAGTAGCCACCAGGCGACATGAATGCGGAAGGGCAAAGGGTTCCTAGATTTCTTGGGAAAAAACACATTTTCATGTTATTCCAATGTCTTGGACGTTTGTCTTTGAACATCTCAGTCTGCACAATACATCATCATCATCATCATCATCATCATCATCATCATCATCATCATCCACCTCAAGCTCATTCCGCTATATAGTCGTACTTGTTTTTTTGCTATTTGGCCGGAGGCCATCGCTAGTCGGTTGGAGGCCATCGCTTCTAGGTTGGAGGCCATCGCTATTAGGTTGGAGGCCATTGCTATTAGAAACAAGCAAAAAAAGACATGTCTATTTATTTGCATTCTCACTGTGGCTTTTTGCAGCTCCTGCACTTCTCAGTTGGTCATTGGCCATGCCTAGGTTTTGTTCCTGTGGCCTCAGGTCTTAACGCTGATGTGCATTATCAATGCAACATCGTAGGAAGCAATAGCATGCTGCAGCATGACGGTATATTGTTATCAATGTGGCTTCACATCGTTTTGTTGTAGTGGCAAATATCAAGGAGTCATGGATTCAAGTGGAGAGAGCGACCTCCGACTCATTTTGCTCCTTTGTCAGCGTTGGAAAACACTCAATTGAAAGATGCGTTTGTCTTGTGTTTTTGATGCAGCGAGAAGGTAATGAACTAAGTCGCAGTAGTCAGCGTATAGTCCTGCTTTCCAGACTTCAGGTACTTGTATTGAGGGCTACTTTCTTTTTGAAGGGCGATGTGAATCATGCATGCGGGGGTCCAACTGTCCTGGGTCCAATCAATTGCACTTGCTCCCTGGCTTTTTCTCCAGCAAGGAGGAGACGAAACGAAAGAAGATTGAAAGAGAAGGATCGTTGCTACAGGGTGTTGCTACCAGGCTTGGACAAGTTCAATCCTCTGCAGGAGCCTGGTATGATATTTCAATGCTTTGGCGAGCCGGAAAGATGCCCAGGAGGTGATCCTGGAACCTGTGCACGTGGCAGGAAAAGCTAAGCTTGGGAAGCTGGAAACAGTCTGTCTCACTTGCCAGATCTGTGATTTAACAATTTTGACGAGTTCCAGAGTGTGGCCATTTCGCTTCTTCCAAGGTGCTGCTGGTAGAGACGTGGACAGCATTGCCTGTAGCACCTGCCTGGATGGCCTGCACGCGGATGGAGGTGTGTGCGTTCCATGTGAGACAGGACATCAGCCCAAAGGGACATCCTGGGGCACCAGTTTGATGGCTCACATCATAGACGCAAAATGATGTTGTTTTAAGGCCGGGAGGGTAGGCCGTAAGAGGTAGCTACAGCCAGCTCACGCTATTCATTTGGTTCCTCGAATAGCACAATGACATTGACCAAGACTGTGCAAAGTGTTTTGAAAACCGGTAGCCTGGTAGCCTTCAGTACAGGTTTGTTTCACTAGTGATCTTACAAGGTTGACTTATAGTTGGTATTCTTGGATGCTGGCCACATACATGGTACATTGCGTTTCCCTCTTTCTACCCTCCTTGAGACAAGTGGGTTGGACCCTTTGCGAGTGATGCGCGGCGACAGTTGAATTGATTGGTGCTAGTTTGTGAGCAGTGTATGTTAGTGTTTTAGTCAAGTGTCAAGCGTCAAAGGAGACTATTTCTTGATCATCGTGGTGACTTTGCTTGTTTGTGCTGGCATTGTGGTCCTCTATGTGGTATCACTGCGGAAAGGGCAGAAGAGCGCACAACCTGGTAGCCTGTTAATTGCAGCACTTGGTCTTGGTCAAATGATCACAGTTGTCCAGCAACTGACTGTGATTCAGCAGTTCAAGATCCAGCCACTTGTCTCAGCCCAGTGTAGGCACAACTTCAAAGGCTACGAAAATGCTTGCCAAGTTGTTCATGTTGATAGTAGAGCTAGGCTCAGGTTTAGAGTTGAAGTTGGCCTTTCAGGTGGGGTGAACCTTTCTCCAGCATGTTGGTATCCTTCGACATTTTCGCATTTGATCTTGATCTGATTTCCCTTGGCTGTGTGGCGCCAATGGCACCGGTTGCCAAATTTACCATGAGAACGTTGCTGGTTCTGGTGTTCTTCGCTGTGGCATGTTTGGTCCACTTCTTTTTCATTGCGATGTTTCAGAAGGGGAAGGGCTTGCAGCTCAGTCTCTTGGATGCCTTGGACATCCTTGGACCAGTTGGACTAAGCCTCAAGGAGCTGATGTGTTGAACATTGTTGAACGGAAGTGTGCGTATGTTAAACTTGTTTTCTCGAACATAGAGTGCCTGAATATCTGCAAAATCAAACATTTGCCCCATCCGACTTTTGAAGGAAGACTGACCAAACATTTTTGGATGTACTTTGGACCTGCACTGCGAGGTGTCCTTGGTGGCACAGTCGGTACATTGTTCATGATCTTCTTCATCTCAGTTTGCTCCTCTTTGCTGGCACCATTCAGATGCTATGCCCATCCGAATGGTCGATCAACAGTTCAAGCCTATCATTCAGTGCTTTGTGACATGAACAATGAGCATTTGCAGATGAGCTTGGTTGGAGGCAAAGTGGTGCAGTAAATACTGCTAGCTTGAGCATTTTGTGATCCCAAAGTCAAGACGAGAAGTACCCTTTTCTTGATCGTTTTCAGTTGTCTGAGTCCAATCCTTTTTGAACGCTGTCGCCTTATTGGGCAAAGATCACCTAATAGTAAGTAGGAGCAAAGAGAGCTTGAGGTGGTGGCTTAGGCTTCTCGGCGTCTTGGATCCTAGCCCTCGAGGTCTTTGCTGTCTTCTCCCGATTGCTTTCTTGACTGTGTGCTCATACATTACCCTGGTCAAGCTGCCTTCTTGGATTGCTGACGGAGAGGCACGGCAGCCAAGGTCTCTGAATTTGACACGTCGACAGCAAAATGTAAGACCAAACCGTAATGGTAGTAGTTCGAAAATGAAGTCTAATCATGTCCTCTAATTGTTGCTATAAAATTGTGATGCTTCTGCCAACTTAGACACAGCTTGAGAATCTGGGGTGCCCTGCGGTCCTTTACACTGCAACGCGTAATTCAACAACTCTAACTCTAATTTCCTCACTGTCAGCAACTTTCACCGGGACTATTTATCCTTTTGATCTCTTCCCATCTCATTAGGTCCTGCCTGCGATTGATTGCTCCTGACCGCTCTTGAACTCCAATTAAACTTAATTACTACTAGCTTCTTGTTACTACTAGTAAGGCACTTGTTACTAGTAGCGATGCACTTGTTCCTACAGTAGTAGCTTCGTTTGGATCCACTCTCTTCGCACTCTTTGTTGACGTGGGTTGTCCGGTACCTTTCGCCCGCCTCACTACACCCATAAGGAGGAATACTGGTTTACGTCGCGTGTATTGTGAGGTGAAGCTGATCCGATCTTGCTCCTTCCTCTTCATGCGCTTCCGCCCGGGTGCAGAGGTCTATTCGGTCTTGTTCTCAGTGCGGAACGCCTTGGTGGTTCTTTGTCCACTTCTGCCGTCAGCTTCGGGACGAATTCTTTGTATGAACCTGGTGCTTTATGGCAGCTTGGTGATGGTGGCGTATGGAAAACCTTGGCGGGCAACGCTTTGCAACACCTTGGTGACTTGCTCCGCATTTCAAGTTGCGGAGCCCTTCTTGTAGCAACAAGTGCATCGCTACTAGTAACTAGAAACAATGTGTCTATTGTTTCACAGTTGTTCCATGTTTTTCCTTGTTACTAGCAGCTTCTTGCTTCTAGATGCTTCTAAGAGTAATGATGCCTTTGTTACTAGTTCCCAAAAGCATCTCCGATGCTTGGGTTCTCGTTTACTCGCTAGTGCCGCGGAAGAGCGAGACAAAGCAAGCGTTGTCGTGGACGGAAGATCGATGTGGACGGGGCTGTGGATGGAACAGGGAGGGGCGCGAGACGGTAGTGTGGACGGGGCTGGGGAAGGAAGGGAGGGGCGCGAGACGGAAGTTGCATGGGTGTGGACGGGGCTGTGGATGGAAGGAAAAGGGCGCGAGATGGTGTGGACGGGGCTGGGGAAGGAAGGGAGGGGAGCGAGACGGAAGCTGCAGGCGCATGGGTGTGGACGGGGCTGTGGATGGAAGGAAAGG